CGATACGAGGTTCTAATCTATATATAATACATATATGTACATCTTAACATAACTATGGACTTAGGATGTTTATACAATTCCAGTAAAGTAACTACGAATCATCGTAGTATATGAGTATGTTTATATATCTATATCTATTTGTATATATTAAAATGTCTGTTATGTCAGTGAAATACATATATGCTGTAATAACATACAAGTTAAAATTTGATAAATTTACAAGACTGTACAATTCTAAATAAGCGAATCGAAAACGCCCGCGAATGGGCGAAAGCACTTAAGAAATATTACGTGTTTCTTTTTTTTTGTAAATAGACAAATTTTGGGAAAAAATGTGAATGCATTTGTCCACATTTGGCGCTACCCAGGGAGCACCACGCGGAGGTCATGGACTGAGCCCCCCTCCATTCAAACACAAACAAACAATGGCCGCGCTCGGGGCACCGGCTCGGCGCAACCAAACTTTAAGCGAGTATTCTAATAAACATAATATTTGAGCACAAAGCTCATAATTGTTATTCGTAAACTTAAATAAATCAGAAAAAAAAACTCTCTTTTTATCTACTATGATGAAGTTGAGCCGATAAGATAAATACACCTATTTCTATGAAAATTAAAATAATATTGTTTTTCTTGTCAATCAAACAGTCGAAGCGGAATGTGTGAACTGCCACAGTGACAAATTTGAAATATATAATATTCAATTTATAATTAATATTTAAGCTGCTTTAAGTTTTTATCTTAGTGTGTTGGCATTACTGAACAATTTTTACATAAAAAGATATACTAGTGTACGTTTTTCGTTTATTTGGAAATATGACTTTGATAATGGCATGAATTACTAAGTTCTTAAAAAATACAACTAAACAGTTTTGAATTCAAGAAAAATACACACGCGATAGCATAATTCTATTGAATACGAATTCCAAAAAACTATTTACCAAAAAGAAAATCATCAAATCGTCAACCAGCACCCCGCATCAGAGCATATATCTCACACAATCATCATTCATTTCCTGTACCTTTGTCATATTCACAACACTGGTCCCCTTCTCTAGTCAAGTCAGAGGGTGCTTTATTAAACTAAAAAAAAAAACAAATTCGTCACCATGACAGCATATAAAATCGGGGATGCTTCGTTCCATACCGACACGGGAATTTATTGGTAGCAACCACAATCATGTTTACAAACATTCCAAAATAACGCAAACGCAACATTCACGAAGCAACGTTATAATCTTACTCTAATCAAATTTCTTTTATTGTCTTTTCCAAGTTGCATTCCGCACGAACAATACAGTAGCACAACTTCCAAAGGCAGTTAACGTATAAATATATTCGCGCGCTGAATTTTACATCAATATCCTTCTTCCTTACTGAGAGTCGGCAAATTATGTACTACTCTTCATCATCCTGAAGGAAAAGGGAAGTGATTTTTACGGAGAAGACGCATAAGGGGCATCATGTTCCATTGCGTATCTCCATCGATTAACGGCAACGCATTTGCTATTAAGTTTGTCTATGGGCAACGGGTAGCTTTGCTATTTCGACGTATTCTTTCACTTGCACGTTTTACGCCTTAAATTAAAAAAAAACCTAGTTTCTCATTAAAATACCTCATAGGATTTTATAACATGAAGTCTGTTTCATGACACCCCTTTAGAAATACGTTCATCAGTTTATGCAAGGCATGTAATTTTGTTGGAGGCGCTTTAAAGTCAGAAATGTGGTAATATTTGCATACTATAGTTTGATATTGTCCCCTTCTTTATTTATTTTCAATGCATTGCAATTGTCCCTTTTCTGTATGTCTCGTCTTCTAGCATTTGAGAATAGACAAGGCATCTATAACTTCGCTGTTTTATCGAAATAATACATTAAAAACTTGTTTTATATTTTAAATACTTTCATTATATACTATATATTATTTGTATTTAAAATAAAAATAATTTATTAAGAACATTATTTGGCTAAAAAACAGTTTTAAACTGTACAACATATAAACCGAGATATTTATCGGTCTCCCGTTCAACTGACTCGCTACCTGAGGGTAGTGCGGGGTGCGACAGTTGTGACGACCTCGCCCCCTCCCCGCACTACCCCTAGGAACCGACTCAGTTGAACAGGAGACCTAGGTATCCACTATTCCTATCAGATTTTTTTTTACAGTAGGTCATAGATATATGCGAGGTCGTCCATCATATTGTGCATTACAAGTTAGTACTAGGTACCATGGTTTACTTAGTTACGAGACACGTGTACTATGCAAATATTACCACATTTCTACTTATAAGCCGTTATTGAGTAGTATCTAGCTAGTATGAACATTTGCTGCCTAAAATTATAGATACGTTTTTGTTCCTTTTACTTGAATAAGTAGATACAATCATATAAAATCATATCACTGGGGGTACAGTTAAATAAGCAACATTTTTTGTTCTTTACAATCCGATATTTTGTTGGAATTATGCTCCACTGACGAAACACTTGAACAAAACATATAGTTATCTTGTTTCAAAAACTGAGATAAAATGTTTTGCTTAAATGTTTCATCAGTAAACTTAAAGTAACACATGTTTCCAACAAAATAACGCTTTAAATGAATAATATTGCTAATTTTGTTACAATACCTAATATGTGCACTTGATTTTTAATAAATTAAAAAAAATTTCGTCATTCAAATCGCAGGAATAATTTAAAAATGTTAAAATAAAAGAACAATTAAAAAACTATACCAAAGAAATCAACATAAAATAGCTTTTTGATTAAAAAAAAAAATTCAGCGCGCAAATTTTATCTCGATATCCCATAAACCCCCATATAACAATCTCGCCAAACATCGAACATACAACCAAAAGTGACATGTTGATGCACGCCCATATAAAAATATCAAATAAGTCCACGGAAAACAGCATCATTTACATACAAATCAAACAAACGCGTTCACAAAAACGCGAAACAATCGCTTAGGGAAATGGAAAAACAAATAGCGGAGGGTTCGCGTAATATCTAACATAATTATAAATAAATACAATAGACACGACTGCAACTGGTGCAGCGCTCTCAACACGCACACAACGACAACTGTGACTATCGCGCACCTATCGTTAGTCTATATAGAATATAATCAAATCTATTTATGTAAATATCAATTACTATGGGTTTCTGAAATCGAAATCTCTATATCATCAGCTCACTATACGTCCTCACTGAGGTGCTCGGAGCCTACCCTTAATTAGGGGTGACTAGGCCATAGTGGCCACGCTGGCCAAGTGGGTTAGTTGGAATTGCTGTGTAAAACATGTCATCTTTGTCTTTCATATTTAACAAAACAGAAATAATATATTTTAAAGGGGATTTTAGTCTCAGAAACCCATTATTATATATATAGAAAGTTAGAGCGTTTTTAGAATGACAAACTGAATAGATAAAAAAAATCATGAAATAATTAACTGATAAGCTGCCTTTATATCCTAATGGCGTCCAAACGGCGTCCATTTAGGGTCTAATGAGCGTCCATTTAGCGTCCAATTGGCGTCCATTTAGCGTCCAATTGGCGTCCATTTAGCGTCCGATAGACACAATTGCCGTCGACATAACGCGTTATTTATCTACCTATAATACATTCCCCGCCGCTCGGAATATTATACTTAACATATGTACAGACAGTGGCTCCGTATGTCCGCCCCGCCGTGCTAGACCTGCCGCTGTTACACTCACAACACCGATGTACTCCTACATCAACTACGTGCATTATATAATTATAATACATATATATTGTGTATATTATATAACCGCACCATTATTTAGGTAAGGTTCTTATTAACTTTTACATTTATACTAATTTTAAAATATATTTACGGCCTTTTTTTTAAATCACTATTTACTAATATTTTATTATTTAATATTAAACCAAATTGTTTCATTCAATTTATATACAAATTGTAGTTTTATTTCCAAATCTAATGCATGGATAAATTCAAGAATATATCAAATTAAATTTTTTAATATAAAACCTAATTCAAATCTATTTTAAAAAGTTTTATTTGACATTTTAATGTGTTAAATTTAATTATTATTGAAAAAAAAACTTATTTAATTTTGTTCTAAATAGAAACACCACGCATAAGAATTGACAATAAAAATGAGATTCAAATGTCAATCTTTTATAATTCTAATTTTCAAGTTGGTTAAAATTTTTCTTTTTTTTTAATTGATTTTTTTTAGTAGGAATCTGTTGCAACTTAAATCATATTTAAAGATTAAAATATTATTTGTAAATCAAACACGATTATATATTTTAATTTTAAAAATTAACATTCGAATCTCAAGAACAATTAAGATATAGGAGTTCCCTTAGCATTAAATACAACAGGATAAGGGTTGATTTACACACTCAGAGTCGTGATATGTAAGTAGTCCCTTAATGTATGTTTCTCTTATTAAACCTACATTGAGGGACTTCCTTAATAACCAATTAACATCTCTAAGTGTAGTATATCTTAGATAAAAATGAATCTTATTCACTAACATTCAGACGGCTACTAAGGAAAGTTAAATTTACAAACGGCAACTAGACTTTTTTCGTGAGTAATCAACGCCATCTATAATTTTCAGGGTAAAGCAAGAATATTTCAGCGCCTTATAGTTTTTAATCGCAACTTTTACATATTTCGTCTCGTTAGAACTTGGCGCTTAGATTGCCTTCTAGCTTTACCCTAGAACTGTCACTGGTAAGACTACAAGGGAAAGTCAACCTTATCACAAAGACCGAACAGTCAGTATCCAGTCGTAATACATTCAGAGGCTACACTAAGTTAGGGATGACTAGGCCTTAGTCAACCACGCTGACTCCATTACGTAACAATATTTTCACCGTCAGAACGCCAGAAATGCTACATACAAGAAGGGTTGTTGTGTGTGGTAGTGGGGGGTGTTGTGGGCTGGGCTAGCACGGCGGGGGGGTGTCGGCG